GATGACCCCCCCCCCCAGCATGTGGTGAAGGCGCTAGCACGCTCTGGTGCCCTGCTCACAGCCGATGGCACGGACGACGACCTCATCAAGCTGGAGGGCGCCCCCGCCGGCTACAAGGTGGTGATCCCGCAGCTTACTTATTTTTTATTTTTTGAGTCGCAGTCACACTTGTCGCAGTCACACACACGCACACGCCAATCCGCACCGCGCGCCCGGCCACCGCCTCGCCTAGCGCGCCTCGCACGGAAAAATGCCTCGGCCCAGCGGTCCTGAGTGCCGGCCGGGGCTAAGAAACCACGGCGTGGGCTGGGGGAGGAGGGTGGAAAGGCTTAGAAACGGCGGCGTGCCGCAAGATCCTGTTTTCTTAATGCCCGAAACCCACTGTACACACGGATATCAGCGAGAAGCCGAGAGGGAGGTTGAGCACTTGAGCACTTGAGCACTTGAGCACTTGATAGGGTCGATTCCGCATGGTACGGGACCCCTCGGGAAACACGATCGAGTAACCCTGCCCCTCTCGCTGTCTGGTGTTAATGGACCCCCTTCCTCTCCCTCGCCACCGCCACCGTCACCATCCCCGTCGCTCCCGCCCTCCATCCCCGCCGCCCTTTGTCTCACACTCGTCTCTGCCATGTCCGCCGTCGCCGCCGTCACACTGTCTGCTGCGCTCTCGGCCGCTCTGTGCTCTCCGTGGTACAGTCGCTTACGTATTGTTGCTCAGGATTAGCTCTGCACTCTATTACGTGTGTACACTGATACACAGTACCCGCGAAAGATCTCATCTCAAACTCTCAATGACAATCTCTAAAAACGGCCGTCATGCCACACACACGCCAACGTCGTCGTCGACCACCGTGTCCCACTGACACCAAGCGACGGGCGGCTGCGGCAAGCGCGTGCAGTGTTCTATCAGCCCAGCCCGAGCGGGTCCTTCGCCGCCCGCGCCGCCCGCGTGCGCTGCCGCTTGGCGTTGGAGCGCTGCGTGCGCCACTCGGCGCTGCCGGCGTGCGCGTTGCAGTGCGCCGGCATCCTCGGCTCGCCGCCCCGCCAGTGGCGGCACGCGGACACGGGCGCGTCGCACGCGAAGCAGTAGCAGTTGGGGCAAGCCGCCTCGTTGCCATGGACCGGCGCCGTGACCGGCTTCTCGGCCGCATGGAAGGGGTGGAGGGGGCAGAGCGCACGCTGGTGCGGCAGGTGCTCGGGCAGCAGGCCTGTGAGGCGCAAGCAAGGGAGGCAGTGAGAGTGCATCCGACAGCAGTCATGACGGGGGTGACTTGGGAGCGCCTGATGCCGCGGAGATCTGCACGTCGCCGCCTTCTAGCAACGGAACGGCAGCGGCGGAGCTTTGAAGCGGCGCCGCCACCTCCTCCACGTCGTCCTCGCCCATCGCCTCCGCCCCCGCCTCCTCCTGCTCCACCACCACTTCCACCTCGTCACCTTCGCTCGGCGCCTCTGCGTTGGGCGGCGAAGGCGCGGCGTCGCTCGAGGAGGATGGCAGCACACCGCCGCCGCCGCCGCCGCCGCCGCCGCCGCGCTGCCCGCCCACACCCTTGCCTCGCTTCGC